GATTTTCCCCTTGTTCTCCTGGAAGAGCTAACAACAGGGCCTTTGCATTTCATCAGGACACAATTTCTGACAGCACCACTTTCTGCTTTGGGGAGTGAAGGCAGCCTTGCTGTAACCGACAGAGCATGGTTTGCTCTTCCCCAATCAGGGTTGATATTAAAATCAGGAAAGGTACTGTTTCTAATTTCATGATAGACTTCAGTATTGCCACACTGATTTATCTATGTCAGAATCTTGGACTATTTTTTAAAGGACATCCTTGGTTCCACTGATTATAACCATAGCAATAATCTAGCTCCCGTGCTCCCCACAATCAAGACTCGATTCGTACAACCATCCTGATAGGTCAGTCAGGACCACATAATGGTAAAAAGCATGGGCAGGAGATGTAATCATTGCATTGCCAAGATGAAGAGTAAATAGTTTCAGTAATGCCAAGCAGAGAGATGGAGGTTCTAGTGACTGATCATTTCACTCCTGGGCACTGATATGTGCTTTGAGTTAGAATAGAGGAGTAATGGAGGCAGGGGACATAAACCCTGTGTATTAAGTATCCATGATCAAGCTGTGGTCTAGTTGATCACTGTATCAGTTCTGGTTCTTCAAGTTAGGCAACAAGAAATCATTATTGATTTTGATAACAGTATACTTTCTTTGCTTTTTCCTTTTTTTCTTTTTTTCTTTCTTTTTTTTTTTTTTTTGTTTTGTTTTGTTTTGTTTTGTTTTTTGAGACATAGTTGCTCTGTGAAATAGACCTGGCTGTCCTGGAACTCACTCTGTAGACCAGGGCAGCCTCTAACTCACAGAGATCTGCCTGCCTTTGCCTCACTGCTGCTGTGATTAAAGATGTGTGCCACCCACTGCCCAGAAACATTATCCTTTCTTAAGGGAACCAAAATGGTTCTTCTCAGATTGTTCCTGCTTCAGGTACAACTTCAGCATGAAGAATAATTGCCCTGGGTAGGGTGTATTTGGAATTGTAGGTTAGCCATTAGTGGGAAATAGTTTAAGTCCATTTTCATAAAAATGCCTGCCTACTGGTCTTATTAGTTCTGGTGCCCAAAGTTCTTCAAGACAAGTGGTTCTAAGAAGGAAAACTTTTTACCCAACGGTCAAGATGTAGTTACTAGGCCTCCATGCTGGATAATTTTACGTCAACTTGACACAAGCTGGAATCTTCTGACAGGAGTAACCTCAATTAGGAAAATGCCTCCATAAGATCAGGTTGTGGGCAGGCCTATATGGCATTTTTTTAAATACTGAATGATGGAGAAGGGTCTAGCCCACTGTGGGTGGTACGATCCCTGGGCTGGTAGTCCTGGGTTTTATAAGAAATCAAGTTGAGCAAGCCATGGGGAGCAAGCCAGTTTACAGCACTCATCACTTCTGCCTGTAGTTTCCTGTCCTGACTTCCTTTGATAATGAACAGCAATATGGAAGTGCAAGCAGAAGCAACTTTTTCCTTCCAACTTGCTTTTTTGTCATGGTGTTTCATAGCAACAAGAGAAACCCTAACTAAGACAGCCATCTTCCTAAACTGTACCTTTTGCAAAACTACAGAGTGTGCAATTTATAACCTTTAAAAGATTCCCTTCATAGAGCTGATCACTTGGAATATGAAAGGCTTTAGTCTAGGGGAACTCTTACCACAAGCAGGAGCAGGAGACCCGGTATTTGGAATTACAGACAACCAGAGCGGAGCTATTGCTTAGAATTTAGCGATTACTTCTGTACTATGTACTTGTGTGCATCTCTTTTGTGTGTATATAATTTGTACTACTTATTATACTCACTTAAATTTTCTCTACATACGCCTACTTAAAAATGCTTTTAAACTGGGGATTTGCACAAATCCCATTCAGGCCACAATATGAATAATAAATGTGTGTTTATTTGAGCTTCTTGATGGTGAGAGTCCTGCAGACAATAGACTTATTTATTTCTGAAGTGGATTTATGTTAGACGAAATGTCCCTCGGGCATTAGGAAGAAAAAAGCCTGCAAAAAGCACTTTAGTAAATTATAACTCTTAGGATAAAATATGACAATAATGTCTGTTAAAGTAAAAACCAAAGTATAAGCCTGCATATACTGTACATTATGCATTTTCAACTTTTCTATTGTTTAGTTTGTTTCACTGGAAAAGTTACCTGTGGAAAATTAATTTGGATCTTAGAAGGCATGAACTCCTTTGTTCATGTATAATTTGATACATTGTTTTGAATATGAGATATGTATGGTGAGAACATTTACCAATAGTGATATGAGATTACTTCTTGCGACGCGATTATTCTTACTCCTTTCAGCATTTTGTAGATAAGCAGTTAGACATCCCCAATAGTGAAGTCAATGTTTGCCAAATGGGTACTAGTAATATCGGTTATCATGAAATGCTAGGCACGCACCACAGGCATGGCACCACAGGACTGCAACTCACTGGGCGGGGCAACACACTAGAGCTGACCCTGTTGATGGGGCATAGATGACCTGGCCTGAGAGTGTGAGAGCAGAAGAGCTGATGCTGCCTCCCCCACCCCCCCCACCCCCCCACCCCCCCCCCCCCGGTACCTACAGCAATCAGGAGAGAGTGCTCTGCACCTCACCTGTGCACAGTAGTAGAGCTGGCACTGGTGATGTGAGCTAAGCTGAGCAGGATCTCGGGCCCTGAGAGCGGGAGAACTGGCCCCTCCCTTTGCTGTAGACTGCATTGCGTAAGCTAGCTGAGGCTGTGCTGGAGAGCTAGCCTGGGCAGTGATGACGGAAAGCTTGCTGGCTGATCAATCCAGGTATCTGTCACCCAGGCCCAGAATCAGACTTGTGAATTAGCCCACCCCAAATCACTCTATGAACTGTCAGAGCATGTGAAGGGGGGCAAACCTACAGATCCAAAAATGCAGGATCCCCAGGACATAGGACAACAACAGGATATTCAATAGGAACCCCAGGGACAGCCCATTGTTGACAGCGTAGCATAAGTCAGAGGCCTAAGACCACACCATAACTCATAGCAATGAACACTTACAAGATCCGTGGGCTACAGGGTAAAGCGTGTGACTCAATAGGCCACACTACAGCTTCCAAAAACAAGATTCTTCTCCTTTTGTGTGTGTGTGTGGTGGTGGTGATGGTGGGGTGGTTGAGTTTTGGTTTTCCTTTGAAGTTTTGTTTTGTGTCATGGAAGGTCCCATGGGCAGAGGGCAGAAGAGAGGGGAGGGGGAATCAGTGGGATCAGAATGCATGATGTGAAATCCACAAAGAATCAATAAAAGATAGATAAAATTTTAAAAAAAATTAAATCATGAAAAGAAGCCCATGATCAAATGAATTGCTCTGTCCCAGAGGAAACAGAAAGCTGTAACTTCTCTGGTATTAACAGAGAGGTATTTGGAGCTTGTCTGCATTCCCCAGTGTCATCTTTGTATGGAAATCTCAAGCTGGCTTGCTGGCTTACCATTTATCTCTTTATCCCTGTAATGTGGAGGAAGAGCTCCCCCTTCCTACCCATTTGGCTCTTGTACACTGGCTTCTCTTGCTTTAGCTCCACTGGAGCAGGGTGTACAGGCTTCCGTCACCACTTAACTTACTTTGTTTCCCATAAGAATCTAGGCTCACATACACCACATGTAGAAAATACTATGTACGTTAATTCACATCCGGACTACACGATCTGTAGAATTCTTTCCTTTTCTCTACTCTGCTCCTTTCAAAGTCTCTTGTCCTGGAAACAACACAGAAGACAAGTTGTTTGGGAAACAGTGTTCTCAAACACGTTTTAAGTATCAGAACTAAATGCAAGTCATAGGTGAGTTACAAAATTTTAATCCAAGTAGAAATTCTAGTCATCCCCTTCTCTAATGTTGTATATTATTTTAGTTTATTCAACTTCAAGGAAAATGTATACTGTTTATTATTTTCTAATAGATCAAGTTGAGCATGTATAAGTCAGTAGATAAGAAAGGACTCTCCTGTTGCTGGTTTTGTCCCCTAATGTACATTGCTCAGACCACTCTGGGTCAATATGCCACACCTTTAATCCCAGTATTCAGAAGGCAGACACATGCAGATCTTTATGAGTTCGAGGCCAGTCTGGCCTACAGAGCAAGTACCGGGATAGGCTCCAAAGCTACACAGAGAAACCCTGTCTCAAAAAAAAAAAAAAAAAAAAACCAAGAAAACAACAACAAATAAAAAAGCAAAACAAACAAAAAACAGTAATATGCTAGCTTCACACAGTATGCTCCTTTAAGTTACATTTGCACTTCTGTTCAAGGGATCTTTAGTAAATTAAGGCATGGTGCCTGATTTTAAAAGCCAACTTGCTACACTGGAGAATCACCTGGAAAGATAGTCTCACCTGAGGAATCATCTTACCTAGGCCTGTGGGCTTATCCAAGAGAGACTGTCTTGATTGTCAGTTGACTCTGCCCACTGTAGGTGGTACCATTCCCCAAGCTAGGCCTGTGTGAGTGAAGAAAGGTGTGGCTAAGCCAGCAAAGAGGAAGCATGGATGCAACTTTTCTTAGCTCTGCCTGCCTCTGTGTGTGTGTGTGTGTGTGTGTGTGTGCAACAGAGCAGAAGGGCTGGATTTACAGGTGAATTCAGGTGAATGGAATCCGACGAATACCCAACTCCTGTCCTCTGCCAGAGCAGCAAAGGCCATTAAGTACTATATACCATACAGGAAGTTCTATATACTATACACAAAAGAACCTTGTCCTTCAGGAATGTAGCAATGTGCGTGCAAGAATTAACAGCACTTAGGGATTTCAACGTCAGAAAGTTAACATTTCACCCAGCAGACTGAAATCTGTTGTGGATGATTTCAACTCTGAAGAATTATTTGAAAATCTTCAGCTGGCTTGTAGCAGATCGTTATTTCTCCAAGAGTTTCCTGCTAGTTTTGGAAAATTGACTTAGATTGTGGCCCTGTCACCATTTCAGGAAATGTTAAATCAATGCAAAATGAGTGGCTGCTTATTTCTAAAAATAACCTTTTCACAGGAAGAAGAGCTGAGGAAGAGTGGGGAGGCCAAGTACGCACACCTGAGCGACGAGCTGCATGTATTAATTGAAGTTTTTGCTCCACCTGGGGAGGCCTATTCACGGATGAGTCATGCCTTGGAAGAGATTAAAAAATTCCTGGTTCCTGTAAGTGATTTTTGAATTTACAAACTGTTTCTTATTCGTTCCTATTTTAAATTGTGTCTTTAATCTCTAGTGACTTTTTGGAATGGAGTTCACATTGTACATTAATTATCTATGCATAGATTTGATACAAATCTTAAATAAATAGGGCACACACGACACTTATTATAAGACCTGGCATGTTGCCACTTTCTACTAGGCTGACATGAATATTCATCACCAGCCTGTGTATAGTATATATCAGTCCACAGTCAGAAACACCAATAAGAGAAATGTACACACAAAAATACATGATTTAAGTTACCTTTCCCTGTTTTAAGCCTTGACGTGTATTTTGATAATTTATAATTAGTAGGAAAATGTAGTATAAAAAGTGAGATTGAATATGTATTATTTATGATAAGGCAATGAAAGTATTTTAAAATAACAAATGCTAGTAGCATGTCAGGTAGTATAAGATAATATTAATAGATGTTAACTTCCAACGTTAGAAATATAAACTCACCATGCAATGTGAGAGTAATAGAGGATGCTCATTTATGAAGGTGGCAAATTCAGCTGAAAATTGAGTAGCGTTCTCTAATGATTTCCTAAGAGACCGAGGAACATAAATGCATCAAGTCTTAAGGTTGACAATTGAATATCCTAGAAACAAGAACTTCAATAGAAGTCTTGCCAAGAGGCTTGAGATTGTGTGATATTGAGAGAACGCTGAGGAAAGTTCCCTAGAAGAACTTGGAAAGATCCTCAACCCAGAAATCGACGAAGAAACTGGATATTTGTATACTCAATAAAAAAACTCAGAGAAGGTGGCTGTCAGATAAGATCCTCTGATTAGTAATGCTATAGAAAACTAGAAAGGAAAAAAATATCAAGGAATTCCTTGCATGTACAATCATTAAGATCTAGCCACATTTTGTAGCTACATGTCCAAGCCCAATATTAATCTTTGTCAAGACACAATTATAGAGTAATGTCACAATAAATTGAGTACTTCTTAATTGTGTGTGCATAGTTACTATTTGAGTATCATCTGGAATCCTTCCTCCATAGACCTCATTCTGAAGATTGATGATACTATATTCATTCTTCCTTTGGTTTTCCAAGGAAATATTTAGTTCTAGGTTCAGTAAGTAGTCTATGTAGTTAGACTAGATACATGTATGTGTAGTGAGGCCAGGTCAGGTTTTATCACAGCCTCATTGTATGGCTTTCGATAAGTTACTTAAATGTTCAGAGGATCCATTTACGGATCTTTAAAATGAAAATGATCATAATGTATTCACTTCAATCACAACTATTAAGAATATTAAGCAGGGTAATATATGCAAAGGGTTTAAAAATAAAAAAGCATTGGAGAAATTGATTTGTAAAACTATTATAATAGAAAGACCTTTGAATGACTTTATCAGGTAAAATGTGTTAGACACAGTTAATAAATCTATTTTGTTTAGGAGTATTACCTCCATATACCTATCTATGTGTCTATCTATATAGAAAGAAATAACATTTTAATTACAAATTTCTCCCTTTCCTTTATTCCCTCCAAACCCTCCCATGCACTCCTCCCTAATCTTCGAGTCAAGACCTCTTTTGTTCACTAATTGTTATTTTATGCATGTACATTCCTACATACATATTTTACATATATATTCCTAAGTATAGCTAGCCTAAGTATATGTCACCTGTAATATATCTTTGATGCATACATATATATATATATATATATATATATATATATATATATATATTGGACATAGACTGCAGGCTACGTTAACCTACTTTTATAGTAAATATCAATGACATGCATCACTTTTTCATATATTATACCTTATACTAACTTCATTTCTATCTTATCCAGTGAGACATATATATATATATATATATATATATATATATATATATATATTAGACATGGTAGGGAATATATTTCCAGGCCAACAGTGTATCTTTATCATTTATCACTTTGCTTAACAGTGTTTGTCTGATTGTAGTCTGACTGTTGAAATAACTGACCAAATTCATCAAATCATGCAAGGTCAATGCAATCTGGCTACATTTGTGATCCATGTGCACCATATAAATGTAGACTACCCTTGCCCCCTGCCATTTCTGTGATTTCTCTCTAATGCAGTTGTCACATCCTAGTGTTCTTACATGTTGTCACATTTTGTTTATGCAACATGCAATCTCACTGATAACTCTAGAGTTTTGAAGATTCTTCTTAAAATATTAACATGGATATTCCCCTTTACTTTTGCATCTTCTGAACCTGCATGTACAGGAACTTTTCAATTACAAATCTAAATTAACTTCATTGGTTGCCTTAAATTATATAGGGCTGTTGTGACAGGTTCATGGCATCACTGATAACTCTATTCAACATATTGATTCATTGTCCTTACCTCTTTCACAATTTATTTCTCTCCTGGGTATCTATTATGTTTAGATTGTACACAAAGAGATGAATGATAGATAGATAGTTAGATGATAGATACGTAGATAGATAGATAGATGATAGATAGGTAGGTAGATAGATAGATAGATAGCTAGATAGATAGATAGATAGATTTTTATGGTTTGTTCACCTGTTAGAACATGAGTGCCCTAAGGGCTGGGACTGAATCTCTTTCCCAATGCTATTTAGAGGCTTCACTATTTGTGACAGTCCTTCAGACTGATTTTGTCTTCCTTCTTGCCTGCTTAGCTCCAGGCAAAGCACAGTTATCTGTCTACTTTAACTATCACAGGAACCACAAAGAGCTAAAACAAACAGACACACACACACACACACACACACACACACACACAACCTCTTCTCACTTGTCCATATTATTTCTGATATTTGATTTTACAGTTCAGCTGATGATAACATAGCTGCATATTAATATTTATGACCATCAGAGGTGAAGTGTCAGATCAATAAAATGAATTCTGAAACAATACATAAGACTAATATAAACTAGGACTCCAACCCTCCACTGATGTCTTCTTTCTTTGTAAGATTGTGTCTTTCCATCACAGGAACTTTTCATCTTCCCCTTGTTATGGTAAGTATAATATGTAAGCATGACCTATACCCTACAATCATCAGAACTACCAGTATGAGAATGAGTAACCAATTATGAAATGTCTGAAGGCTTTAAGATGTTAGAAATCAATTCAGTTTCTGTAATTAAATTAGTTGCTAAAGAAGAACTAATTACTATTGTCCTAGGTGAAATTTCTAGCCTATTGGTCTCTGTTCAGGCACTGCAATCCTACCCAAATAAGTAGACTGACTAATCAATGAACATCATGTGTTGTTTTCCAAATTCAAATCTGTAATGTTTTATGTAAATTAAACCTTATTTTCCACACAAATCCTAGTTCTCTCTCCCTCCTGTCCTCGCAGCCCCCCCCCACTGAACCCCCATTCCACCCTGCTTCTGCTACCCATGAAGATTGAGGCCTCCCATGGGGGACCATCAAAGTCTGTCACATTATTTGGGGTGTTTTAATCAGTAAAATACCATTAAATTGAACATCGCCAACTCCAAATTCCTAACCTTTTAAGAATGAGCTCTACTCCCAAATTTTTTATTCTTCATTGATTTGCCTTAAAATACGGATTGGAACTCTGTAGTCATTCTGAAATAATGCTATTGATGCTTCAGTGAGGAGTGTAAGTCCATTTTACTCCTTAAGCTGGAAGAGCATTATGTAATTTGCCACTGTGGTATTTCACAGGGACCCTCCTTGCCTAATTTTGATATCAGAACATCAGAATATTTTGTGGGAGTGATAGTTTATGAAACATCATTGAGCAACATTTATGCTAATGTTTGTGTCAGGAATCCCCCAGAACCCCATATTAATATATATTTTTCTAACTCTATTCAGAATGCTATATCTAAATAATGATAGTGTTTATGTGATTAAATAGTCTCAGTTTTCATTAAATGAATTCAGCCTGTTTGATTAACTCATGACTGAAATATAAGACACTGTCTCCCAACTGGAAAGTGTGCAGCATTCAACAGAATTCTGTTCATGTGGATGGTGGTGTGGCCCTGCACTTATCCAAGTTGTTTCCATCCATGGAAACAACAAAAAGATGGCAGAAATGGCCCTCTGATCTCCAAAACCATGTTGTAGCATGTGCATCCACATATAATATATACATGTGTTAAGTAACCATGATAATAGCAATAATAATTTACTATCAGCTATCATATGTTCACATAGTTCCCATAGAAAAGATGGAAGTTGAGCTTCCACACAAACAAGAAATTAGTCTTTGGTAACAGAAAAATTAGACGATTTTATTGCCTTCTTCAATAAATGCTGTGAGGGGCCTAAATAAGAAGTCATAATATAGTGCACCATGTCAGAATCTATAAACTTGACAGGTCTGTCTTGTTTGACTTGAGCTTCATAGGGTCTCCACCAGAGTTTTGTGTAACTTAAAGCAGTTGATAGGTAAGAGGGAAGATTCACTCATATGTACGCATATTTAATTTATGCTTTTTTAATAGTTGTTTGGTGTGTGTGTGTGTGTGTGTGTGTGTGTGTGTGTGTGTGTGTTTTACTCGTCTCATGAATCAGATGTTTAAGTTGACTCACTAAGGGAAAACGAAAACATGGATCTGTAGCCTTCCACTGGAGTGTGGTTGACTCATCAGGACCAATACTCTTGAAGACATTGACTATTTCTCTCTTAGCTTCTATCAGTGGCCAATAACTCCTCAGCTATGGGTAAGACTCCATGTCCACCTCCCTTGTCCATCCTAGGAATATGTCTGGTTTGAGCTTGCATGGGTCTTGTGCATGTGTGGTGGATTGAAAGAAAATGGCCCCCAGAGGGAGCGTCACTATTAGGGAGCATGGCTTTGTTGGAATAGGTGTGGCCTTGTTGGAGAAGTATGTCATGATGGAAACAAGCTTCCAGGTCTCATATATGCTCAAGCCACACCTAGTGTCTTCCTGTTACATGCAAGTTGTAAGACTCTTGGCTATTTCTC